GGTTTAGGGGTTTAAGGGTTTAGAAGTTTAGGGATTTAAGGGTTTAGGGGTTTAAGGGTTTAGAGGTTTAGGGGTTTAAGGGTTTAGGGTCTAGAATTTAGGGGTTCGGGGTGAAAGGCTTTAGGTTCAGAGGTTTTGGGCCACAGGGTTGGCAGCGCTTCAGGGTGATTTTTGTCTGTGCTGCTTCAAGGGTTTAGGGTTTAGGGTTTAGGGTTTAGGGTCATGTGTAACGGCACGTTTTCATGGATTGAAATGCTCTGAAGAGGTTCCATTCTGTTTGTAATAAGTCTTGCGTGGTCCCGGAGAGAGGTGTGCAGGATTGACGGGAATTGATTGTTGGGCCTTTCCGTGACCCAGGTCCAGGAGCAGTCCAGGATATGTTTCGCGGTGGGAAGCAGATCCACAACGCCACAGATGTGCAACGGCTTCAGCACGTGCCCGAAGTGGCAATGACAACCTAAACCCTAAACCCTAAACCCTAAACCCTAAACCGAATGATCTCGGTCGAAGATGGTCTCTTATGTAGCATGCACAACGATTTGGGGGGCCGTAACTTAGGAGAGGACTCTGGGGCAGGTTATACTGCACGTCTTTGGGCCAAGAAGGTAAAAATCTGAAGGACCAGAATTAAAGGAAACTACAGGTGGGGAGTGTAGGGTATATAGTGCTTCTAGAAGGCTTCTATAAGGTATATGGACAGTCTATAAGGCTCCTATAACGGTAACTACCCACCTGAAATGCCCTAGACAGAACCCTGACTTAATCAAAGTTCAGCAAACCTGAAACCAACATACCAAGCCCCATGAAGGAAGCAAAAAGCATGTAGCAGCCCTGTAGCTTCGACGTCGTCTCCAGTGGAAGCCTCTGTGCTGATCCTCTATGCAGCCAAATGCAGCGTGATGGAGTTGGACCAATCCAATGCAGGGCTGTCTCCAACTTTCCGGGGCTTGTGTTTTAGGATTTAGGCCCTAAGCCTTAAACCGTAATCGCAATATCAAAAGCAACTGTAGTACTGGACGCACGATGGTAACGTAGGGGCCTTAATGATTAGAGTAAGGTTTGGGGGGGGGGGGGTATATATTTTGCCTCCCCATAACAAGGAACCACCACAATAGTATACCTACCTGTCAAGGCACCTATATTAGAGCTGTGTAGAACCGCATACTTGAGCCTAAACCCTACCTAAATCCTGAACCCTAAATCCTCAACCCTACACCCTAAACCCTACACCCTAAACTCCCAAACCCTAAAGCCTGAATCTTAAATCCTACTTTCCTACAGTACTTGGAGGATTATGGGACTTAGTAACTAGGTTTATAAATGTGTTAACCATACTTATAAGTGATTATAACCCCAATCAAGGTAGTCATAACCTTACTTACTTAAGTCCCATGATCTCCAAGTAAGCCTAAACCCTAAACCTCATAGAGCCCTTATAGAACCCTTTAGGGGTTTAGGGTTTAGGGTAACTCGACGTACTAAGTCCCATGATCCTCCAAGCAGTCCACTTCTCCGCATGAGGCCTGCCAGGCTTCATCAGCGCAGATCGGAGCCGTCGGTGCTCCTGGGGTTTAGCGTCCTAGGGTTTAGGGTTTAGGGAGTTTAGGGTCCTAGGGTTTAGGGTTCGTTTAGGGTTTAGGGAGTTTGGGGTTTAGGGTTTAGCGTTTAGGGTTTAGGGCTTCGTCACGCTTGAAAACAGCTTTCGACCCCTTGCGGCTGAGGTCTTTTTCTTGAATTCTTCGCCCTCAACCCCCAAACCATGTAAGTACTGTTGATGATACAAATCCTGCATGACCTCAAGGACCCTAAACTAGGGGACGTATGGTATATTCCTGATTACATATGGGTAATGCAGGATTTATATCATCAACCGTACGGCATTACGGGTTTAGGGTCAGGGATTACGGGTCCTCAACCCCGTAACCTTATCCTTAAGCCCGAAACCCTGAACCCTAAACCGACTCACATGAGTGCTTTGGGATCAGGGTTTCGCCCGGTCCGCTTTCAAACAGAAGGCGGAGGCAGCCTCCACTTAAATGTTCATGGAATGTAGTAAAGGAGGTTATAAATATACTTGTAATAAAAGAAATAATAACAGTAATAATACAATAATGGTACTAATGTAAACAAGATAACTATAGTTTATGGTACTTATAACCCTAGTTACTAAGGCCCATGATCCTCCAAGTACACCCGTGACCAGACACTGCTAAACCTGCTGGATCCCGGGTACCGAAGACACCCATGAGCTACTCTGCACAAACGACTGGCAACGATAATCAGACTGGTTAGTAGTGAAAATAAAAGTGCAAACAGGTGCAACAGTAGTAATGGTGCTGATAATAGCAATAGCAGTCTTAGAAATATGTAAGCTCTCCACCCTAACCCTAAGACAGGGTGCACTCGAGGCTCAACTGCCAGCTCCAAGCTGCGAAAGAAGCCCTAAACCCTATGACCTAAACCCTAAACCCTAAACCCTAAACCCTATGACATTACCCTCAGACCTTCAGCCAAACAACGGCACCCACGGTAATGATAAGGTCAGGCCGCAGCTCAGCGGCAACAACAGAAACCGATCCATCAAAGCGGTGCCAGCGTCCCACACAGCAACGTTAGGCAGGCCTTGCTTTGCATTGACACCAACAGGCGGTGAGTCCGCGCGCGCGCAGCTCTGTGGCTTCAAAGTGCGAGCGCAGCCGGCTCAAGTTGGCCGGCGCATTTGGGGCTTTCAAAGCTGATGAGTCAGAGAGGCTTCGCGTATGCTGACCCCTGTCGTCGAGACCGTCCCAGCGCTTCTCGTAGCAGTAGCACTCATCGGCTCATCGTGAAAAGCACGTGTGGGCGACTGTAACCCTAAACCCTAAACCCTAAACCTCTAAACCCTAAACCCTAATCCCTAAACCCGAAGCAGAGCGGCTGTGGGCTTGGGAAGCGCTTGGGCCTCGGCAAAGAACCCGTTTTCAAGGCTGAGGGGCATTAGGTTAGGGTTTAGGGTTTAGGGTTTAGGGTTTTGTTGAAATTGGCTGAACTGGGTGTGGGGCAAAGGTCCAGAACAAAGACCACGAAACGCTCTCTGGGAGCACCCTAAACCCTAAACCCTCAACCAAGACCCTAAACCCTATGGGGTTTACCAGACCCTGCTGCATCATGTCCTGAGCCTTCGCCAGAGCCTAGACCCTCAACTCGACCCCCAAGATCCTACAGCAATATACAGGGAGGAAGGGCTTTCACAGTCAGAGAACTGCTTCGGAGTGCACTCGACCCTAAACCCTAAACCCTAAACCCTAAACCCTAAAACACAATAACCAGGAAGCCTCTGGGAATCATGCCACTAAGTCTTCAAGCCGCTATAGCGCAGGCTCGACGCCCTAAACCTCTAAACACCATCCTA